GTTAGTGGCAGAAGCTGGTATACTGACTCCTGGTTCAGTGTCCTTTCCCCTGCCTGCCTTTATAGACAAATGTACTCATAGGTTCTTTGAATATCTGGTGAACTGCTGTACCCTAAGTACATCTAACCAGAGACAGGAAGGGGGAGCAAATGCCTTGGTAAGACATTTGGGAGATGGTAGGGCTGGAGAAAAACATTCTTTCTCCCAACAAGACTCATCTGAAGTTTAGGAAAGAGGCAACAGCTCTGTTGAAATCATGAGTTCATGCACACCAGGCATAACTGTCACTATTGGAATGGGTGGTTGTAAAGTTAATTCCATTGATATAGTGCCTTCTTTATTCCAGTTTATAATGCTGCCTGCTTTTGAGTTCCTTGGGCCTCTTTTGCCAAGATTTTGAGAAAATCAGCCAGCCTTTCAACAAAGAAAATATAGCATAGTGATTAAAATTGTAGGCTTTCTCAACAAACATATTTGAGTTTAAGTTTAGGCTTTATTACTTAAAATCAGCCTTTGGTCTAGGCTAGAAATAATGTTGAGTCATAGCCTCAGTTTCCTTATTTACATAATGAAGGTGATTGTGCTCAACTCATACGGTATATGTGAGGATTATAGAACGTGAACAATGTAAAGAGCTTAGCATTACCATTTTCTGGCACATAGTAAGTGCTCAATACATTTTATTGTTGTTATTGTTAATTCTGCCCTTGAATCAGTTTCTGCTTCACCTTCTATTATATTCTCACAGTAAGTTTTAGCATAGCTTCCATATCCCCAAACTAATCATGTTACAGCTTCATTCAAAAACCCTTAGTTATCTCAACTGGTATCCTGTAATCAGTTGTGAGGTGTGGCGAGTAATTTGTTTAAACATTGAAGTTAGAGGATGATTTAAACATACTATAGGAGGTTTACATTTCTTTTAATACTTTCAGTCTCACTTGTACTCATATTTGCTCTCTTAAATGGGAGAGAAAGGAGCTGAGTGATAGCTGTGTGTTAGGAATTGAATATAACCCTAGTGGCTCTGTTGAGAGTATGTCACACATGGCTATTATCTTTCACATGTGGCAACTGAGAATGACTGGCTTACCGAAGAAATTCTACTTCTTAACAGCTCACAGGAGGCCTTTCACAATGGGCCCTAGCCTAGCTTCAACTCCAACTTTTACTCTCCACTAGCTCCCTTTGGCTTTGACTTCCCCTAACAGAAGCTATACTCTTTTCTGCCTTGTGTGCATTTGTCCATCTGTTCCCTCTGCTGTGGTTTCCTGCCCAGCTACCTTATCCTCTAATGGAATTTCATCTCACTATTCAAGGCTGGAGTCAGATGTGACCTCCTCTAGGAAGGTGGAATGTTGTCTCTTTTCCTCCAGCATTTTTTTCTGATTTCCTGTTTGGATGAATGAATGAGGCTGCACACCCACTGAGCACCAATTTGGACTGCTTCCCACAGCCTGCACTACTCCTTGATGTTATGATACTGCTCCTCTCTGAGGTCCACTGTCTAGCATTTGGGAGCCCTGTGCCAGTGAGTGTCACCTCAGGAAGGCCATGGCAGGTGCTGGTAGGATAGTAGGCAATGCAAGCTGTCACCACAGAGACATTTGAACATATTCCAAGAGTTGCACTGCCAGGTCCTGAGATCTTTGATTGGTGTAATGTGAGGAGACTGAGGCTGGAAATGAGGAGGCTCTGGGTTTCTGGTTTAGACTTATGGCTACCAATTATTCAGGAGCAGCCTTTGGGAAAATCACTTCATCTTGGTAAGCCTCAGTTTCCCTCTCTGTAAAATGGGCCTGATCGCTGACGTGCCTGTCTCCTCAGGATGCTATAAGGTTCAGATGAGATCCTGTGTCTGACAGTGTTCTGGGAACTGAAATGCTGGCAATGGCTTCTATGGCTCCCCTTTATGCTTGGGATAAAAGCCAAACTCTTTAGTGTGACACATAGGCCCCTGCTGTTTTGCTTGTGCCTCCTTCTGGACTCTCATCTCTCATAGTCAAACCCTTCTTCCAACCCTTCCATCAGGCTAAAATGTTTGCTGTTTCTCTTACAAGGCTGAAGTTTCATGCTTGAAGAAGAATGCCTTTTATTCATCCCTCATCTCCATCTTCATTCAACTTAGGTCACTGCCTGGACTTCTCTAAGAAGCCTTCCTTGACCTTCCCACTAGACCGGGCTAGGCATCCTTCCTTTGTACCCAAACAGACACAGAATTTCCCTCCCCATAGCACGTATTACACTATATCACAATTGTCTGTGTCTTTGTCTGTCTTCCCCAGGAAAGTAGGAGCTCCTTGAATGCAGAGACTATGCCTGTCTTGTTCCTGTACAGAACACAGAGTGGCTACACAAATAAATAGTTGTTGAATAAAGGAAAGAACAAATGGACGAGGGGAACACTAGATACGATGCCCCTATGAGGAGTCCCTGCAGCCTTCTGAGGCAGTGTGGTTCTCCCACAATATAGTCCTACACTGGCATTAGCCACCCTTGGCACTGTGTACATACATCAAAAGGGCCTGCTTCCTTTGGGGACAAATGTCACTGCCCAGGTAGTGGGTGATGAGTCTCCCACAGCATCTGTTTGCTCTGCTGGCCTGTTTTCTGGTCTGAGATCTGAAGTACTCAATTAGGGGTGTGGGGAGGGCTGTTTGCATAGAGTCTGGCTTAAACCAGCTTGTTTGGTATGCAGCCTTGCTGGCTGGCAGCCAGATTAAGTTCTCTTAATGGCCTTCTCCTCACTTGAAGTCTCCTGGGGAAGCAGCTAAAGGAAGCAGAGAAGTGTCCCGAAAAATTGGTGGCAGGATAATCTGAGGGTTTTAATCATCTGCATCTGTCTATTAATTCAGAAAGCCAAGTTCTCATACTTCAGTGTCTTTTAAATGTTTCTCATTGCTTCTGCAGTCCCTATTCCAGCTCCCCCAACACTTCTCTCCTTCTCTCTCCCCTGCAGAGGCATGAAGACAACCTTTGGGAGTGAGAGGTAGGTTAAGTAGGTGCCGTGGTTGGGGTAGAGATCCTTGGTTTGTATATGTGGGAGCTAGATGGCAGCATGTAGTGGTTCTCTTGCCAGGGCCCTGAACCTGCATGCAAAGGGATAGTAGAAATTCTCAGGTGGCCCATCACCTTGGCATGCTGCCTGCAGGAACATGAAGGGGCCATGAGGTGGGTGTTCTTTTTAGCCTGGCATCTTCATGTGAAGAATGAGAAGTGTGGGTTAGACAATGTCTAATATCCCTTCTAGTTCTAAAGGCAGCAATCCTAAAGTAGAGATCAGCCCAATCTCTTTGGAGGGAAAGATGTGGGAGGGTTGGGATGGGTATGATAGGTTGAAGTCCCAGACTGGTCTGGCCCAAGGCATTTAAGACTGTAAACTCACTGAAGGCACAGATAGTACATGGATTACAGCTTATTTATTTAACTTCTACTTATCTCTGCCATTTATGAGATAATCTCAATGGCAAACAAATTTTTTCACTTTGGAGCCCTTTCCTATCTTGAGGGGTTGATAGCATCTACTACACGGGACTTCACTGTTGTTTTGACCCCCCACCCCGTTGTTCTATAAATGTTTGTGGAGTACAAATGCAGGATTTTAAAAAACTGTGTTCTGAGGGTAAAGGCCCTTTCCTTTTCCCCTTATGTCATGATTAAGAAAGGTATTGAAGTAACTTGTAATAATCATGTGTCTACACTGGAAGGGACTTCCCATCTCATCTAGTCCTACTCCACACCTTCCAAAACATGCTCATTTCACAAAGGAGAAAACTGAGGTCCAGAAAAGAGCAGAGGACTGCCCAGTGTCATATAGTGGATCAGCAGGCCAAAATCCTAGCTATCAACTAGTTGTGTGACCATGAGCATGTCACATACAGGATTCTCATCTCCAGGCTCTTTTCAACTCGTGAGGTGTCCTCTGTGCTTCATACTCCTTGGAAAACCTATGGTAGACACTGACTGCCTTGCTTTTTCAGGCAGTGGTGAGTGAAGCCAAGTAGGGTGGCTATTAGAGCATTCGCTGTACTTGCAAGAAAAGAGGACCTAAGCAATGGTTGTCAGAGGAGCTCTCACTTACACACACAAACTGCAAATAAACACACTGTCTCTTACTTAGACACACACAAGCACACATCCCAAGAATCTCTTGTTTTCTTCTCTTCTCCATCAAGCAGGACGACTTTGAGAAATCCATCCACTCTGAGGTGGTCAATGATAAACATGGCTCAATGTGGGATCCTTCTCAGGAGTTCTGGCATTTTAACAGGGAACAAAGCCAGAGCAAATAGCCACCAGCTGTGTCACATATGTTCTCAGCGAATCCCAAACCCAGCCCAGAAAGGAGGCATTTGTGACAACCCTGATTACAGGTGGGGACACTGAAGCATACAGTACTTTCTTCTTATTATTTTTTGACAAGCTGATCACACCTCATTGATGGCTTGTATCTCCAGCCCAGAAATTCAATTTGGAATCTCATAAGTATTCACACTAAGAGGCAAGAGGAAGAGGCCTGCCTTCAACTGAAGAAACCAAAAGGTTGATCCAGATTATACCTGGGTGGTTGAGGATGGTATGACCACTGAAAAACAGTGAGGATGTGAACATGCCCATTCCTTATCTGAAGCTTGCTTAGAATTGGGCAGTGAGGCCACCATTTTATGCTCCCACAAGGATAAGGATGGAAGGGTGAGCAGCTGGCCTTTGTGTGGCTTTCCCCTGGCTGACAAGCTTGGAGTTTTTCATGAGAGGTTGTGATGGGCTGCCAGTGTCCATCTGTGCTTTCTAGCTCAGATCCTTTGTTATTTTGGTGGTCCCAGGTCAACCTATGATAAGGCCAACACAGGGCAAATTTATAACCCTTGTGTGAAGATTTTAAAAAATATATGAAAGTCAAAGTAGCATAAAAGGCCACTGGGCATGATACCAACTCTTGACTTCAATAAAGACAGCCAATAAAAAGAGCTAATTAAAAGAACTCTGATGACATTCATCTGAAATTTTAGATTGTTTTATGTTTTAACAAATTAACAACAGTGATAAGAGGACATTAGCAGCTTTTCTCGGGTCTCTTTGTTAACAATAACTTGAGCCTGCAGCCACAACAGGGGCTGTGGCCAAGTTTTAGCTGGCAGACCAGCAAGCCAGTATTTTACACAATGGATGACATTTCTGAAAGCAGAGGCAGAGACAAACCCAAAGTCACACATGTATTCCAACAAACAAGTTTCTGCCATTTTTTAATTGTATTTAGAGCAACAAAAGATTCCAAGATTACAAAAAGAGAACAGAACACTAGCGCTTGGGGCTGATCCTGTTGCCCAGTGGAGGCCAAGTGCCACTGTGAGAACGGAGCCCCTTCGAAAGAAGTTTCAAGCAAAATTAATTTGTTTCTTTTTAAAAAATCTTTGTATGATGCTTGCTTTCTTTCTCTCTCTTTTTTTCCTTCAAATCAAAAATTAATTCTTATCTCTGGTTACATAGTCTGCTCACTCCTGCTGCCAGATTAATCTCAAGGACAGCACAAGAATTTCATGTCCGAGGCACTCCCTAATCAACGTTCCAGTCTAGGGGAAAGCAGAAAGGTGTCACTGGGTGGTGAAGGAACTCTTTTCTTTTGCTTCAGTCATCTTGATGGTGGCTGCTCTCAGCACTCAAGTGGTTTATGGGATAGGACAACCCCAGAGGCACTTAGCTGCAGGACAGTTAGCACCAAGGGCTAAGGTTGTCAGAGAATGCAAGCCTGGCCTCTCTGCTCTGCACTGTACAGGATTCCAAACTGTGAGACAGCAGCCATGGAGGGCACCACCAGAGAAGTAGCAACATTTTCGAATTGTTTTTCTTTTGGGGTATGAATATGTGTGTGTTCCAGTCTTTGGTGGGTAATGGAATCTGCAGCTACATGACTGTCTTCTTAAACAGCTTATATAGGTAGGGTTTCAGGCCCCATGGGCCACCCATTCCATAGCTTCTCATTTATTCCATAAAAGTCTAAAACACAAGTGGAGCAAGGAAAAAATGTAGCACTCTGGTCTACTGAATTTGGACTGGAAACCAGTCAATCCATATTACCTACTTTCTGGCCAAATCAAATAAGGAGAAATCAAAGCTGAGTTGAACCTATTTTCACTCTAAAACTCTATCTGCTAAATTCAAATATCTACCACTTTTTTGGGGAGTGGTGGAATTCCAAATGTTTTGTCACCTCAGCTGAGATATCTATAGAGGAGTGACTAACAAGGATTTTTCTGCCTTCACCTAGAAATGGTTGAGGGTTGGGAGGCTCTGGTCAACAGACCCCAGTGTCAAACTCTTAATAAAAAACAAAAACAAAAACAAAACAAAAAAACAAAAACAAAAACAAAAAACACCCCTGCCCTTGGGCAGAGATGGACCTGCACCTACAGAGATATAACTTCTAGTACACTGACAAGTTTTAGCAGAGAAAAACACATTTTCATTTGTCAAAATCTTTACAGAACATATCCACAACCAGAATTAGAGCACACAGATACCCAGTAGCAAGAGCACCTCAATCGCAGGTGAGTGAATTTGTATGTAAGATGGAGCACTTGCTCCCGGTTCCCAAATGTAGGAAATTGCCCTTCTCTCACAAGGATGGTGAAGACCAAAGAACAGCCCTCCTTCTCTCAATGGCTCAGGTCCCATTAGGGGGCCACTGGCCAATCATCTGGGTGGGCTTTTGGCCCCAAGGCTGGGCTGGGCCTTCCCTATGGTAAACCCCAATTAGCTCCAATGAGTCTTCATCAACCTTTCCACATTCATCTGTCTTGGACTAGTAAAGTGCAACGCATCATGTTCCCTACCCTTTACCCTCCTGTGCCCCTTTGCAAGGCCTGTGAGTCAGGCCCAATAGGGGAGCGATCTTTTAGTTATCTGATTGATCCCGGTGTCTTGTCTGTTCTGAGCTTCCAAAATGTAACTGCAGCCTCTCTCACAAGTATATGGCATCAGTTATGATCTGGAACCAAATATAAAGGTGCAGAGAAAGGTAAAGCTATCAGAACACATTATATCTATATATATAATTCAATTTTGAAACATGGATACAAATACTCATTTACAATATATTTCAACCTTCTGCCTTAAACCACAGAGAACTTTTTGTGCCGTCCAAAGTGGGCAGAAATGAGAATTTCTGCCTGCTGTCCTTCTAGTGCAAAATCTAGTCCTTTAAATGCTCCCCTTATCAGTAAGGGCTTCACATCTTCAGATAAGCTAACATGGGCACTAGCAAACACAGCGGTGAACACCAGCTCCATCTCCAACCATGCAATGATGGAGCTTCAAGAATTTGCTCAGCAACTACTAGAGAAAAGGAAAGCAAGTTCTGCTAATAAAATCACTTAGTGAAGGACCCATAATCCCATTTTTCCCAAATTATGTTCAACTCTTCTAAATATGTATCAATATATTGTGAGGGTGGGAAAGCCCCACAAAACTCTTATAAGTCAGTCACCAGCAAAGTCCTTTAGTCTATCTTTGGATAGCTTACCAAAGAGGCACTAATGTTTGCTCCCTCCCTGCCCTTAGAAATTTTGGCATCTTAGCAGATACAATGTAATCTTTGGTTACATAATGTGATGCTTTCATCTCTTTTTTTTTTTTTGTCTTTTTGTAAAAACTGCTTTCAAAGATTTTCAAAGAGATTAATGGTAAGAATAAATCTGCCTATAAAGGCATTGGGGTAGAAACTTCCTTTTCCAAGAAGTTGCACATGTTAAATGGCTTATTTTGACTTTAAGTTTGGGGTTTGATCTGGTGCTTTAGCATTCCTGATTCCCATGACCCCCTATGGTAGGTCAAGCACAAAAACCACTCCCTTGGCCCAGTGCCCTCTCACCTGGGCAACTGGCACAGGATAATTAGTAGTCAGCCTCCAGTTTTTCCAGGGCTATGCAGGGGCCATGCAGGGATAGTTACTGGGCTGTCTGGAGAGAGTCTCCTTAAGTACAGCACTGGTGCAGGGCTGGGAAGGGGCAGAGGGAGTGGCTTGGAACTTTGTGCCCTATTGGATATCAAGGGGGAGAAGGGGGCAAGGCCATGTCTGTTCTGTGCCTAATGAAACAAACACTTAGAAGCTACTTGAAGCTCAAAGTTAGTTCACTTGTGTCATTATCATGTGGATGGTGGACATATCTTCTTTTAAAGTACAAGTAGAATGCAACTTGTGATATATGCCTATATGTATTTAGAAGTACAGTATGGACAGAGAGGGACTCTAGCATCAGCACATTATTTCTCAACCTGGACAGTTACCTTAGCAACTACCCAAAGGACAGAGTGAAGTTCCTTTTGTTTGATTTTAGTGCCAGCAAACATACACAAAAATATACTTATTACTGATTCTTTTCAAAGATATATGACGGAATCCTTCAAAATATCCCTTTCTCAGAGTAAGGTAATTTAAAAAAATAATGAACTTTCCAAGAACAACAGTATTGCCTGTGGCATAGAAAAACTATGGAACAAAGGATCCAATCCCCATGTCAGCTCAGAGGCCAGGCCCAGGTGAGCTGCCTAGTGAATGGGAGCTGAAACTGCCACACGACTCTTTTCTTTGACCACAGAGTTCGTGACCCTGGCAGCTGTCTGCTGCCCAGCACAGATGGGGCTTTCTCCCAGGTGCTCCTTCTTTTTCTCTTCCATCCTCATCAAGCACTTCTTTGGAGATGGTCCCCATGGCTTGTCTGGTGAGTGATCCCCATCTTCTAGCTCACCAGGTGAGTGGGTCCGGGTGGCCAGTCCTTCATGGGTGAGCACAGTGTACCAACCACACCAACTCTGTTTGTAGAGCAGAGTGCATGCAAAATGAGACTTCTGTCTGGAACATCAATGGCCAAAACAAAACAAAAAAATCCTCCCCCTTTTCACATGTGAGAGAACAGAGCTTAAATCTCCTTTGCTCACTCAAACCCCAGCGCAGAAACAGCAGACCTAAAGGCTTGTTTAGGCCATTGCTCCCCTGGTCTTGCCATTTGGAAATCAGGAGTAATCTAGTTGTTGTTGCTTTTAATTACACACTGTTTCACTGATTTGGGGCTTTTGCAAGTGAAAAATGTATATATTCATAAAGACAAGAGTCACAATTGGGAAATCCATAAAGATGAAAAATTTCATAGAGAAATGGAACGAAGAGCCTCTAGTATTTACAACGAGAGGTATTAGAATGATAAAATCCAGTCCACGTACCACAAAAGATGAAAATTGTTTCAAAACAGATGTAAAGGACCTATTAAAATGTAACCTAGTTTAACTGAAAAGAGTGGTGAATATTTTTTTTTTCTGTTTCAAACAGCTAAAAGTAATTCTGTACATAAGCCAGCTGGTGCTTTAACAAAGAAAACCAGAATTTGTCTATTCTACCCCAGAAAGGGAACCTGTCAGCTGTAGTTTTGTCCAGCAGTCTTAGATTGGCGTATCATCCATCTTAGGTTCCCTTCTTCCCTGTTATTTAAAGAAATTGTTTTGCAAGTTCATTTGGCTATTAATATCAACACAGAAATCAGGGGAGGAAACCCATGTGGATCATATCATTTCACTCAGAAACTATCTTCTCAAGAAGCAGAGTGAACCAACTAAAATGGGCAGGTGGGTGACTGGGGCCTGATTTCTTGAGTTCAACAGATGAGGTTAATTGCTAAGTGACGAGGCAGTGGCCAAGATGAGAAAGTAGGTGGACATTTACCCTGCACTCAGGGTTGGGGAACAAAGTCAACAGAATACAGGTGTGCCAAAGGACTATACAAAACCAGTGTCCCAGGAGCACACCCTGTGTTCATGGGTGGCAGCATATCAGAGCCACACCAACCAGACCTTTCCAAAGGAAGCCATGGTTCTGCTGAAAGTCTCAATGGCTCAGCCTCCCTTTGACTGAGAGGCAGCAACGATGGTGGGGAATCTGAGTGAGTATGGCCAATGTCAGAGCCCAGAATCAGCAGCAGAGGAGGATGATGAGTAAACTCACCAGATGGTGCCCATCTGGCTTTAAGATTTGCCTCTGAATACTTTAATTTAGTATTCAGAGTTCTCTTGGTTCAGTCTCTCTTCTTCTTGTGACTTCTGCAGGTGGATATGTTAGGTGCCAAGAAGAGCACTTGCAGGGTTTCTGGTTCTAGCACCTTCATCCTTCATGATTGCAGTTTTTGGACTAATTGAGTTTTCTCTTCAACCCTGATCTGGGTAGCTCTTTTAGCTGTCCTCAAGAAGGAAGTGGGCATTTCTCCACTTGGTGGGAGGGTATTATCTCTGGGGGACAAGGGCAAGACGCCCAGTTTGTCCAAACCCAATGATGCCTTCTTCCCAGTTAGTCTGAGGGTGCCACAGATCTGATGTTGATGAGAGCTATCTGGTAAGAAGTCTTTGAGACTACTGGCATCTGGAAATAGATGTCAGCGCTGCTGGACTGCTAGCCTTCTTGGTGGTGGGGGCTCTTAGTGGAGAGTCTGTGAGCATGTCCAAAGAGGTGAACAAGCTTCACCACCATGGCTGAAATGCAGTGTGGCGAGTTTCAGGCCCCCAAAAGACTGAAGTAGGGGTGGAAGGAGCTTGTGGCCACATGGAATCTGGCAAAAAACTTCATTCAGGTCTTTTTAAGGTAGGGAAATGTGGTGGCAGTCAGGGATCAACTATTTAGTGTCGTAAGCAGGAGAACAGCCAAGCCATCACTTCTTTCTCCTTTGACTCCAGCTGCAAGCTCCTCCTTGGCTCACACATGAGAAAGCTGACCTGGATCCAAATGGGGCCTTCTAAAGGGTCAGATCTCTCCTCTCCTTCTTCTCACTAGTCTGACTCTCCAGTGGAAGTGGCCAAGTTTTGGCTAAAGAGAACATTCAGTTCAAAGCTCTTAGAAAAACGATTGAAAGTCAACTTGAGGGTGGAGGCAGAGGGTGAGAGAGGAAAGGGTTTGGGATGGGGGAGGCGTTCGCATGCAGACAAGTTTTCAAACAAGAAGCACATTTTCAGTACAATGAATTACACTGCAGTTGAGCAGTCTTGCCCCCAGGGGCCAAGGCAGGTACTGATGATCTGCCCTCCTTTTCCTCTTCTCTCTCTGTCCCTTCTCCCCAACTCAGCCCTGGGATCACCCTGCCCTCTAATGGCAATTGCCATTTGCAGAAAATAAAGTCTCCCAGGGAGGAAGGGGATGAAAAAAAGCAGTGACTCCCCATGGGCCTGCAATTTTCACCTTCTTTTAGTCACTATTGGCCTCTTTGGGGATTTCTGTTTGTTTGTTTTTATTTAGTTTTTTAAGCAAAAAACCCTAGCAAGGTTTTTTTTTTTTTTTTTTTTTTGCTTTTTTGCTATTTTTTTTTTTTTTGGTTTGTTTTGGTTTTTGCTTTTTTTCCTCAGATACTTTTAGCTCTCTAAACTTCCCGTGGCATAAGGTAAGTAAACGTTTGTGTGGCTGGCACACAGCGCAGTGCTGTAAACAAGCACAACTTGACACTGGGCCATGTGAGGATCATCACAGATTTAAAGAAATACAACACCATTCAAAACACAGATAGTAGCCACGACAGGGAGCAGAATTGGAAGGTGCCATGGGAGGGTCAGATAGGGAGGGAAGAAGAAAAAAAAAGGAAAAGAGAAAAAAAATCCCAGGAAATAGAACTAAGGAACATGTTCATGACAGACTGTACATCAATAGAGGAAATTCCCCAAGGCACTGCAGAGGAGTAGTGCAGAGTTATAACAGGCAGAAGACATCTGAAAAGGGGAGTGGGGTTGGGGAGAGAAATGGGGGATTCCAATGCTTCACTGTGTGTGGAAATAGATGGGCTTGACTTTCCCAGAAAGGATCTTGGGCACTTGCACAGAGATGATCTCTGCCATCATTTCCGGGAAGTCCACGCTCACCATGTGGGACTTGATTAGCAGGTCAAAAGTGAACTGATGCAGCTCTCTTGCAATCTGCAGAGGATAATAAGAGAGAAAAAACAGGTTTGACAAGAGGTTGGCTTCTGCTAGACTCTGCCCCTACCTCTGATTTCTGGTCCTTTTAGCCTTTTGTTTCCTCTCCCCAATCTTCCCTGTCCTTGGTCCTCCCCAACGAGGTTGTGTGTGTGTGTGTGTGAGTGCGCGCGCACGTGCATGTGTGTGTGTGTGTGAGAGAGAGAGAGAGACAGAGAGACAGAGGGACAGAGAGAGAGAGAGCGCGTGCACGTGTGTGTGCGCGCGCATGTGTGTGTGCGTGAGAGAGACAGAGAGAGAGAGAGAGTGAGAGAGAGAGAGAGAAAGAGAGAAAGAGAGAAATGGTCTCCAGGGAGTCATTGAGGGCTCCCAATAGCTCTCTTATACGTTGCAAACTATTTGACTCAGGACAGGGTGTTCCTCTTCCCAGAACACGCGCGCGCACACACACACACACACACACACACACACACACACACACACACACGTGTGTGCGCGCGCGCTCTCTCTCTATCCCTCTGTCTCTCTCTCTCTCTTTCACACACACACACACACACACACAGATAAACTCACATGCACATGACTCAGAGAAGAGGGGAAAAACATCCAGGTCTGTTTTGTCTGCCTAGAGAACTCATCTGCTCTAAGCCCCTTCCCTGAGTCCCTACTGCTCTGTTCTCAACTCCTCCACCCCTTTCCCAATAGCCAGCTGGGACATTGTGACCCGTGTTCCTTTCTTCTCCACTCTATTTTCTTCCTGGACCACACTCAAAGCCAGAGGGGGATGGAAGCACCTCCCAACAGGTGGTGCCAGACCCTAGAGGAGCAGATTATCACTTGGCTTTATCAGGTTGCTCTCCCTGATAAAGCACCCTCCCTCGTTTGCTTACAGGCTGCACAGAGTCCAGGAGCTTGGTGAGCTGGTAGAAGCGCCTTGAGCAGGATGTGGGATTTTTTCTTTTGCATGCAATGATACGATCGAGTTCCTTGATGTAGTTCATTCGAAGTTCATCAAAGAATTTTTGATTTTTCAGCCCATCCACTGGAACTGATGTGGGATGAAGACAGAATGGGGAGGGGAAGCATGCCCACGAAGGAGCATTAGACAAAGCACTGAATTTTCTGACCACAAACTTACCCCCACCCCCACGGGAACCAGCTACTTGGCTTCCTGTCAGTTGATGTCTGAGTGCCTGTGGCCTTCAGTCTGCCAGGGAGATCTCAGGGAAAAGGATAGCTGGACCCTAACTTATGGGAGTCAAGTAAATAACATTTACTGAACGTTTCTTTTTTCTAGTCTTCTTATGTCTCCATTTCTTAGAAGCTAAGGTTTTATGTCATTCACAGTCCAGCTCTGATTTAGAAAATTAAAGCATATGGCTTTGAATATCAAATTTTGCCTCATTTCTCCCTCACAGATGCAAAGACAGCACTCTGCTTAGAAGAGACATAAAAGAAACGTTCCTTGGCTTCTAAACGAACCCTGAGTTGCTTACATAGACCTCCTCTTGTTGGCAGAAGAGGAAATTCCTTCCAGGAGGCAATTCCTCCTGCTCTACTGCTCTGCAAGGAATACAAAGTGGTGGTCCATGGCTGTTTCTATAGCAGAAGCTGAGGAAAAATTCATAGACCTGTTGCAACCAGCCAAAAAGGCCTTGTCCCATATAGAGAGTGGGAGTAGGTAGGGATCTGATGGAGGCTTAATTATAGTAAAGAAATTGGTCTCTAATCATGAAATTGGTCCTTTATAAGAAAAATGATGCTGAAGGAGAGTGGAGGGGGCACAAACAGGGGGAAAGAAGAAGGGAAGTGTCCAGGAACTGGCTTCTCCTTGATAACCACTTAATGGCAAAAGTTGTCCCTTCTGAGCCTCTGTGTCCCCCAGGGCATTCCCTGTGCCTCTAGGAACTTACTAATGCTGAAAAGTAGTAGTGCTTTCATGCACAGGAATTCCTGGGGTGTGATTTGGAGCCATCCAAACTCTTGAGAGAGGTGCCTCATTCGGACACACTGGCTGTACATCCGAGACTTGTGCATGCGGTACCTGGGAAGGAAACACACAGAGGAAGAAGAAGAATGAGTGGAGGCTTATAAAAAGTCCAGAAGGAATGTCTCTGGTTGCCCTCCCTCTCCAGGTTCCCTAAGAAGATTTTGCTGTTTCTCCTTCTTCAGTGACAAGGAACAAGGTTGTTCTTTTTTTCTAAAATCCTCACTTCCTGATAACTACTCATCTTCCCTGGCCAGGATATGGGTGAGTGCATGGAATTTCCAGGTCTCCGTGCCCCTTCTGTTTCCTGACGCAGAGACAGGAAAGCCTAACCAAATGAACACAATGGAGCAGGCACATGGTCTCCCTGACTACAGCTCTAATATCCCGGCTCCAGCCAGAGCCAGAACCTGCCTCCTAGGCACCCAACATGGAGGATTTCTAGGAGAGAGGCTCCAGAAATCAGCTCTTAACATCAGGACATCAGGGTTCACAAGTAACCCAAGTATTTGGTCACCTTGCTAACTTCCCTGCCTCTGGCCTGGACTACTAGAAATTTAATCATTTCTTTAACAACTTCCAGCAAAGGAGATTCCACGTTGTTCTTTCAAAATCAGTTTCAATGCTTTTCAAATGTGCCCCGCAGGGGTGTGGAACCTTCAGCCTTTTGGTTTCAAGATTCTTCTTTTTTAAGCACCAAAGGAGGTAAGAAAAGCTCCACATTTCTCTGTTGCATCCCCTTTGTTTTGCATCCCTTTTAATAAAATGATTTGTTCTGTAAAATTTGGATTCAGTCAAAAGGGCACACTTAAGGACCTAGAAGGCCACATGTAGTCTTCAGCATGCCGGTTCCCCACCCCGAAGGGGAGGCTTATTCCCTCATATGCTAGCTGTTCCTTACCACAGTTTGTGAACAGATCATCGCATTATCACCTATAAATTATATGGGGAAGTGGCCAAGGCTTGGACAGATTCTTAGTGGGGAGCAACCTCTTCATTCCATGACTGGCTATGGCATGCCTCTAAGAGAAGACACAGCATCCTCATGCTAGTAGGCCTTCTGGTTTTCAGTACTTCCGAAATGAAGTGTGTGTGTGTGTGTGTGTGTGTGTGTGTGTGTGTGTGTGTGTTTGTACGTGTAAGACAGAGATTGATTATGTAGCATGTGGAGAAAGGAAAGGGAATTTGACACCCACGTAAGTGGTGAGGACAAAGACCTCTCAGATGGAGCCTATATGCTGTGATTTAACATTTTGGTCCCCACCCAAGCCACAAGCCTAGTCCACGGGCTGAGCAGGCCTGGTGTTGTCTAGATGGAAGCTCAGCGCACTATCTCAGAGAGATCTTGGCTGCCCTGGAGAAAGAGGAAAAGGGGCAGATGGTATAGAATTATTCAACTCAGGCTGAAGCCCAACTGGAAAAAGGAAGTGTTTAGATGGTATCACAAATCAATTGACCAGAACAGTGTTTCTCCAAGCTTTTACCCTAGAGAATTTTTGAGTAAGATCTGCCAACCCTGTGGTCCGACCTTGCTCTGGTCTCCATTATTCTTTCACATCTCTGTTGATGACAACGCTATACTCTTCTTACCATTGAAATCACAGTCCTGGCATGGAGGATTCCTGTAATATTGCTGCAGTCCCCAGGGACAGAGAAGGTAGAGAATGGGGGATAGATAAAGGAGAAAGACAAGAGGGGGTAATTCAGAGGGGACGGGAACAAGAATAGGGAGAAAGGGCAAAAAGAATAGGAAGAGAATTAAAGGAAAGGAAGAGGAAAGTGGAGGGTAGAAAAGGGGGGTCAGGAATGAAATTTAGGAGTAGAGCAGGGATAGGTAGGAATAAGCAACAGTGGACAAGAGGGGGAATGAAGGTTGGAAAACACTGAGTACAGTGCCTGACACACAGTAAGTGCTCAATAATGACATGTAGGAAGGTGCTATTATGATGCTATTCACCATTATACAGATGAGATTTGAGGCTAAGAAAAGCTCAGTAATTTGCTCAATGTGACAGAGCTAAGGTTCAAGCCCATTATCTTTACAACATGTGCTTTCCAAAAAGAGGGAAGGAAAGAAAAAAAAAAAAACAGTGCTGATGACAAGGTTGAGTGTCAGAGAGATCAGCAAATGGGTTGGTCCAGCTTGGACAAGTCTCTATCTCTCTCTTTGGGTCTCACTCTCCCCATTAATACCTTGAGGAGGCTGGCAGCAATTTTGACAAACACTGGTCTAGATGTTTGTAGGGACCCTGAGAGCTCTAACATAGTGGGTTCCTATAAAAGGAGCTCTGGGGCTTGGTAGGTCTAGGCCTCTGTCCCTGTGAAGAGACCTGTGGCACTTTTTGATGAGATGGATGGGACTGGGCCAGGAAGCTGAGATGGGGTGTCACATGCTTACTCAGAGGTAGGGAAGGAAATAAGGATTTACAAAATAACCAATCATCATCTTGCAAAGCTCCAGAGGTCTTGGGGCTCTGGGGAAGGTGGGGCAGGTGCTCATGGAGTTGAATCAATCACTCAAGTGCAGGAGGGCTTTGGGGATGGGAGATGAACAGTTAGGGGGCTTTTCAAGGCCTGCCCCAGAAGATGGCATCATAAGCAACTCTTTGGAGGTCTGGATATGACAAAGCAGGTCATGCCAAAATCCCAGTGGTTATTCTTAGCTCTGGCTACCAGGCTGGTTGGGTTGGGAGAGGGCAGCTGGGGACATTCAGTCTCCCTTGCATGGCACTGCTGTACTGGAAGGAACCACTGGCCTGTAGATTTTATTTTAAGGCTCCTCTGTGTTAGAGGGCTGGAGGGGAGAGAAGGTCAATTCCTGCCCTGACTGAAAGTTTTCTTTGTGGTGACACTCGCTTAAGGTCCTTGGGAAGAGTTTTTCTGGCTGGCTCCACTCACAGTACCATTGAGGGACCTTAAGTGGCACACACAGAGAAGCCCTCTAACCCAGAAGAGTTTCACTACTAGGGAAAGGGCAAATCATAAAGGGATTTCTTTTTTTTATTTCTTGCCTCCTTGGGCCAGACATTCCATGTCCATTAGTTTTCAATTTGCTACCATAACAAACCGTTTATGAAGGTTCTATTATTACTGACTGATGAGGAAATCAAGGGTCAGAGATGTTAAGGGTCTTGCCTAAAGACAATGATGTACATAATAGTAGAATAGAGATCTCAGTAGAGAAAAATCTAATTCTAAAATCTGAGCCCTTGGCCAAATTCATAAAGGATAAATTGAGCTTGTGGCAGTACAGGTATTAATTAAACCTATTTAAGAGAAGTGAAATGGCAGGGCTCAGGTCACACAGCCAGAGAGTGGTAGGGCTGCTCCTCTCCATCAGTCACCACCATGAGGCAGGAGAAGAGCTGGGAGTGACACAGACATATATTTGAATCTTGTCTTCAACATGCACTTGCTGTGTGACTTTGGGTGAGTCACTTTATTTTGCTGAGCCTGACTTTCCCCATCCATAAAAAAACAAAACAAAAACAAAAGCAAAACAACAACAACAAAAAATAACCAGGATTATCTAGAAAAAGGGGAGATCAGGTCACCATGAGCACTCAAGGAGAAAAGATTTAGAAAGTAGTATAGTCCTAGCAGAAAGTAGTTGCTCAACAAATGGTGACTGATAGCAGCCCTCAGTAGTAGCAAAGAAACTGAAGGAACTTCAGCCCTCACAACCAGAGTCTCTCTGCCCCTTCCATATGTTGCCCTGAGTGAAGGGGAGAGGCCTTTACATGAGGTTCTGAGATAAGCTACAAAGCAGATCAGAAGCATGACCAAAATACCAGGATTAGGTGTTGGGTGGAAAGGGATGGCCTCAGAAATAACCCCTTGCCTCCCACCAGTTGGCCTCCTGGCCGAAGGTAAAGCCACCTCAGACTGAGCTGGCTGGCTAGAGCCTCCACTGCCACACCTGCAGGTCAACCGATCACCATCACCACCACCACCAACCACGGCTGGCTAAGTTGCTGTATTTAAGTGACGTCTGGGCCCAGGAGCACTTACTCATTGAAAACCAAATCAGGGGCAAAATAGAGCATCCTAGAGTTGACATTGGTGAAGGATCGCCAGCCCATGGCAAACACCATGAGCCCCATCCACGAGTACTGGATGACTGCCATCTGATCGTCCACATGTAAGTTGCGGAATCCTGGAGAAGAAGGGGCAGAGACAGTGGTCAGTCTGGGTGCTGACTGCTTACAGTGAATGAACTCTTTTCTAAGCACTTTACTTATATTACCTCATTTAATGTCACAATAGTGAATAAAGTAGGTACTATTATTAACCCCATTCTGTGAACCATTAAAAGTAAGTTAGAGATTAAGATCATGTCCAATATCATATGGCTAGTAATTGGCAGACCAACTTCCAAAGCCAAGCAGTCAGATTCCAAAGCCTACGCTTCACCTTTCCGAAGATACAGTGTAATAATCATTCTTCCCAACTGAACACAATTTTTCATTTTACAAAGCTCATTTCAAGCTATGATATGTCTCTTGGAGCTTCTTGAAGATAGGGATTATATATTCTTATTCATCTTCGCCTCCCTAGTATATAGCACAGTCTAGGTATTTGAGTGGGCACTTGAAAAATATTAAACAAATGGACTAAGGACCCTCAATTTCTTTTTCCACTTTGTAAAATGAGAATCAGGTGATCTTCTAATCCCCTCCCTTAAGCTCACAAAACAGAGGCTCCCACAGTAACACACAGGTAGAACAGATATGGCCATGTTCTGCTGGAGGTTTCCAAACAGTTGGATGCCTAAACTTATGAAGGCATCACCTCAGAACTCATCCCTACCAGCATCCTCTTTCTCTTTCCCCCAACAAATCCAGAATTATTTGAAATTTTGTCTTGCTATACCCCATGAGAAATGCTTCCCCAAATTTAAATTAAGCTTCTCATTTTCCTGTTGATGACCTTATTTAACCCACAACAATAGCCCTAAGAGAGTAGGTGATGTGACACTTATTTTACCAACAAGGAACCTGAGGGCCAGAGAAGGTAACTGACTTGCCCAAGGTCGTATAGTCTATATGTGGCCAAACTGAGACTAGAACTTAGGTGTTCTGATTCTCTTCTCTGGTGCTTTTTCCACTCTACTGCTGAAGTTCACAGCTTAGGAACTACCAAGGTCACCACCTGTCCTCAGCCATAGGCTCAGGTCTGAAGTCTACACTATCCAGACACATTGTTCTGCTTGGTTGGTCCTTGCCCATCCACACATCCCCATTTCCCTTTTCTTTTATTTTAGGTCACAAGCCTCCCAGACATCAGGGTCCCTTATAGCATCATCCTTGGCTGGAATCTTAGTTCCCAGGCCAGTACCTCCCACTTTCACTGTACTGACATATTGTCAGACTGGCCAGAGCCTCAGACCTCAGAATATTTCCTCTCTGTAGCCCTTATGCAGCATGGAATGCCTAAGCCTGATCCATTCATTCAGTCTGGGCTCTAAGCATGTAGCATTCAAGGAGTTCATGGGGAAAAGGCCCAGGAGCTTAAAGCCTGAACCTCTGGAATGGGAGGCAGTGGGGAGCAAGAAAAGTCTTTGGCTGGTGAGCCTTGATCTTCTGGTGGAGTGGGTTAATGTGAGGGTACATGGAGAGGTTAGGATTGAGCTATACAAATATCAAGGAAACTATCCATACTGATGTTTTTTCTCTCCCTGAGATGCTAGGGAACTAACAAAGAGGAGTTAAAAGGGGAAGCTTAGTTTGGCTGTAATGTTAGTAACACTCCTTAGTGAGAGCTGCTTAGCACTCAAGACTAGTGACTGTGTACATTTCAGCAATGTGGCCAGCTAATTTTCCTATAGGTCTAACCTGATTATAATACCTAATTCTATTCTCTAAAGCCCAGCCTGTGTAGTATCTTGCATGGCTATAAAGGGATGACTTGAGGAAATGATAGCCTCAGCCCTTTAGGTTTCCTTAGGCATACATTCACTCAACGCCTATTGGCCACTGTCTGAGACTATTCGGGAGAAATAGAGAGAAGTCATTCTCAAGTTTTGAAATACACCAAAAAGTTAGGGAGCAGAGACAGTGTCCTTGAGACTAACTGTTTTGTCATTATAATCTAATAGACATTATTTTTTTAGCAATCTTCAGTGGAAACTTGTAGTGCCATGTCTAGTCTGGGAGAATAGGCTCAAAGAAAGGCCAGTTTGGAAATATTTGCTGCTCTAGTGCATATGCCAGGCAATGTCTTCAAAGAAGACAATTCAACCTTGGGGAACATGTAGGAGCTTCTAGGCAAAGCTGGTGGCAGCTTAAATTGAGTTTAGTGAAAGCAGTGGCTTAGTACTCAAGCCTCATAATGATAAGCCACCATTTACACAGCACCTATTATATTTCAGCTACTGTACAAGGTGCTCTTAATACATAATCTCTTTGTTGATAACAATTTGCAAGATAGTGGTTGTTCCATCATCTCTACAAATGAGGAAACAGAAGCACAAAGAAGACATGTGATTTGCTCAAGGTCATACAACTAGTACATAGCTAGGATTCCAAACCAGATACATTTGATTCTAAATATACCATGCACTCACAATCTACTCACTCACCCCCAGTTAATAGTTATTATTTATTAATGTGCCAAGTACCCTACTAGTCAATTTCCATATATCATGACTGTCATAGAAAACTTACAACAAAATTCATCTAACTAGGTGCCTAGCACAGTGCCTCATACAGGTCAGAAACTCAATCTATTGAATAAGTAAATTATCTGAACTAGTAGGTGATTATTGATAATATGAATAACAGTTCTTACAAATGTGGTAATTGGCTATTTTTGGAGACTTTTCTTTTAAATGACTCAGGGTCAGAGGTTATTTACTCTGGCAAGCTAGACAGTGAACTGATACTGGCTTGCAGACTTGTTAATGTAAGTAGAAGGATTCCCATCCTGGGGGTTGGGCCAAGAAATGCCAGTGATCCCCAGTCATATAAATTCTGTCATGGTGATTTGTACAAGGTTATGGTCAAGACCACTAAGTTAGAAACTAGAGGGTCTGAGCTCAAGTTCTGGCTCCATTTGTTAAGTGACCAAATGGAGCAAGTTAGTTAACCTCTTTGAACGTTGGCATGTGCAATGGAAATAATAGTCCCTATGATTCATAGGACTGTTGTGAAGATTAAGTGGGATCATATATATGAAAAGGCTCTGTATCCTATAAAATGAGACAAGTTAAGTGTTTGGAAACTGCTTGGGAAGATTAAACTTTGAATCTCTGTCAAATACATGATATCAAGACATCCAGCTGAAAAAGTGATAAGAATTAAAGCAATCTTCTTTTTTTTTCTTTTTGTTTTTCCTTTTTGTGTGAACCCTCTGTTTTGGCACAGTGCATCTCCAGTCAGAGTCCTTGAGCCTCCTTCCCAGTGATCATATTGGCTAGTCAGCCTCAGCTTCTCAAGCTGGGAAGGCATTAGGGATGGTTAGGGCTGTAGCTGAGCCTTGTGAGTCAGAAATACAAAATAGAGGCTTGGCTGGGCACAGTGGCTCATGCCTGTAATCCCAGCACTTTAGGAGGCTGAGGTGGGAGGATTGCTTGAGCCTAGTTCAGTACCAGCCTGGGAAACATGGAAAGATCCTGTCTCTACAAAAAAAAAAAAATAGCTGGGTGTAGGGGCACATGCCTGTAGTCCCAGCTACTTGGGAGGCTGAGGCAGGAGGATTGCTTGAGCCCAGGAGTTTAAGGTTGCTGTGAGCTATGATGAGATCATTGCACTCTAGCTTACACATTAGAGATCTTGTCACAAACAAACAAACAAACAAACAAACAAACAAACAAACAAACAAACAAACTAGGGGCTTGATGGCCAACATGCAATGTCTTCAAAGGCAGCAAGCTTACCATATGACCCAAGTGACCTTTGATGAGGCCTTGGCCACTCACTGTAAAGCCCAGGGCTACAAAACTTAAGAGGTGCTACAGACTACAGGTAGAGTGAAATTAGGAGGGGATTTGGAATTAGGAGAGGACCTGGGCTCAAGTTCTGGTTCTGCTACCTTTTGGCTATGTAACTGTAGGCCAATCACATCACTTCTCAGAGACTGTCTTCTTCTGTAAAATGGGGAAAAGAACTCCTATTTTATCATACTCTTTTTAAGGATCAAATCAGGTAATCCATTCAGAATTTCTCTGTTCAACATAAATTTCCACTTGAATGACAATTATTATTGGAAGGCAGGTTAATCTGTGACTCCACAAGAGGAAGTTTGGTTGTTGATACTTTAAAAGAATCTTTGAATCATATAATCTCAGGATTAGAAGAACGTTTAAAGAGTATATGCTTCACTAGTTTTCAAACTGTGTTCCCTGGAGCCCTATGATTTTACAAAAGTGACCTGGGGCTTCCCTAGGATAGTAAGGAAGAGGCTGGGATACTGAGGCCTAGGCCACAGACTCTGGCTTTAAATCAGCCAGCTCCATTTGTATCTGCATAGAATGCTTTTGAGAACTAAAGCATTTGGCTGCTAATGGAAAGTTTATGAATTCTTGGATAGACAATCTTTAAGTCTTCCTTACGATGTAATATTTTAATAACTAGACTTGTTTAAACATCAGATGGCTCAGGGAGGGAGTTCCCCATCAGTGGAAGTATCCAAGCAGAAGTTAGACAGATACTTAGGAATTCTTTCACTATCACCTAACCTTTCTTCTCACAATGATTCTTAAGGTAGTTTAAAGAGCACTAACTAAACATTCTTTGAAGCAAAATTTGAAAAACATCAATTTAGTCCAAGCTAACCTTTACAGTTATACCTATAGAGAAATTGAGACCCAGAAGAGGAGGGGACCACACAATAAATTACTGGTAGATCTAAGATTAGAATCCAAGTGTGCTGACTCCCGACCTAATATTCCTTCTACCATAATACCTGAAAGTGACACTGAAAACAGAATTGTCAAGCAGGCTCAAGATTATCTCTGGGGTGAGCCTGTGTGTGCACATGTAGAAAAGCATCCTAAGGCATATGTGGGTATGACTATGTGGTGTGATCATGGGAAATTTTGCTCACCTTGCCTGTGGGTTGAACATGAAAACATATGGAACACTCTATAATGCTGCTCTTCTCTTCATTTTCTAAGTCTCAATTACCTTATGTTTAAGGTGAGGATTATAATGATCCCTCCTCCTCAGAGTTATGGTGAGGACTGAATTAATGGATCAGAAAGCACCCGACATGGTGCCTGGCCCATAGGAGCATTCACTAAATGTGATCTCCTTTATCCCACACCCCCACTTTCCTTTTCCTTACCAGGCAAGGCCTTGGCCCACTTGACCACATGAACAAGCTGTCTCTCGCCCAGTTCATTGAGGCTAGAGAGCAAGGCTGCGAAAGAGTCAGGCTGGTTGTTGTCATGTCCAGCACACACCACGCCTGGCTCAATGGCTTCCAGGACATTCAGAAAGATGGGCTGACATTCATAGCCTTCAATGTGTGACACCGTCAGCTTCTGGCTTGACTCCTCAGTGGGGCTGGTGGCGCTGGAAGTCTCCCCTTCTTCCTGTAGCTTCAGATTACCAAGTTTCTTCAGCTTTCGGGCTATTGGGAAGGAAGAGAAACTTGAATTCATCACCAGTGGCCAAACACACACAGCACAGTTACCCCGTTAGAAAAACTGCCTGAGCTAAGAAAATGAAGATGTTCATTCTCTTGGTCACAGATTCTAAACTCCTTAAGGACAAGTACTCATTCAACACTGGTTGAATGAATGATTCATCATCCCAAATTCCTGCTAAACCCAAACTTTAATATCTTACCTTCTCCCCTGATCTCTATGCCAGATCAATCTAATATATTCTCTGCCTTCAGTATTCATACCTAGGCCCTTCAATTAACTCATTTACTAATACATTCATGATGCATTCATTCATTCAACAGACATCCATTGTTAGACCTTTGCTTCTGGGTGACAGAAAGGACACAGGCCCTGGCCAAGTCTGAGATAGGAGAAATAAATGCCCACAAACAATTCTAGAAAATGTCAAACTGATAAATGCTACAACAGAAACATCAACAAAAGAGGAAACCAATAATCTCTGCTTAGATGCAATTAGAACACGTTTTACATAGAAGGTGGCATTTGACCTAGAATTTGAAGATTGATGATGATTTCACCAGGCAGAGATGGGTGGAAAGGGCATAAACAAAAGCATTAATGAGTGTTTAGGGCAACAACAACTAAAGACCAGTGTAGCTGAAATGTATATTGCATATGTCGGGAAAGTGGCTATTTATGAGGTTGAAAATAAAGATGGGGCCTGATTTTAAAGGGGCGTGCATATCATATTATGATGTTTGGGCTTTCTCATATAGGCAATAGACAAATACTTAGTGCGGTAAATCAAAGAAGAGACGTACATGTGCCTATGTCTAGCATGTCTAGCAGATAGCTAGGGAAACAGACTAGAAAGGCAGACCTACTGAAGGACTAGACTTTTCTTTGGGTTTATAGTGACTTGGATTTTAGTGTTCTCTCTCTTTCTCACTCTTTCTCTAAGAGCCTGTGTTCTCACACACACACACACACACACACACACACATACACACACACACACACACACACACACACGTTTTGATAGTTAAAGCTCACTGAAGACAGAAAGCTTGCCAGGCACTCAAGCCACTGGAAATGATCAGAAACTAGATGCATAAGGTTAAGAATTCAAGCATCATATGGGAATTGGGTTTTTTTTAAAAAAAAAGCCCTGAAGATCAATCCCTTCCATCTTCAGACTACCAAATTCTATCAACTCACTTTGGGCTCAATGAATGGGAATTTTCTGGTGTTCCATTTCCCACTGAACACTATAAACAGCCTCAGATGCTGTTAGAATTACACCCACAGTTGAACATGCACTGTAACACACATATCGATTTTCTTCTTTTTAGCAAAGGTGGGGGAGGTGAAAGGTTGAAATCTCCAATAGTATCAGACAAATGACAGAATGTCTCTGCCTCAACCATCTGTGTGTAAACTGGGAACCATGCTAGGAGGCAGCCATTACAAAGAATGATAGAAATAACAGTATTTAAAACAATCACAATAATCCAAAACTCAAAGTTTAAGAACCATCCTTCCCATATGCTCACATATACACAATTTAGATGTCTTTGTGCATCTTGATGTTTACTTTGTGCTATTTTCTGTAGCATTTATATTGACAGAAATAATTGAAAAGGTCATAACTCTGAGGTCTAGCATAGGCAGTTGCACTGTAAGGACCATAAACCACTTTAATCTTTAAAAAATAATAATAATAAATAAAAGGGTATAAAGCAGAGAAGTTGATTGCTCAATTTAAATGGATAAATGCAACAAAGCCTACTATTTCTCTGTTTCTGGCTTCTGCAGAGACAGATACATATCTGAAACTGACTTTCAGCTCTAATTAGAAAAATCAGTGGTTCAATGCAAACTCCAATCATAGCGTCACTCAGTAAATTGCTGCAAGAATGGATTACATGTTTGGAACTAGGGTAGGGAAGAGGAAAATGGTGTAGTCAGTGGTACAAGAGGAACGTAGAGAAGAACTCAGGGGAAAATAACAGGAAAGCCTGGAAAACCAACCATCAGTGCAAGATGACCTTGTCTAACAATCATTTCTGCAGGGCTTGGGCACAGCCAGTAATAAGGAGATATGCACACCCACTGCCAACTCCCACTTCCCACCAAGGGCACAGGCTGGAAGGTATGGTCTGGGCCAAGCCCATCTTATCCCAGGGCTAGAGGCTTGCCCCCCTACAATATCTTGTCATCTGGTGAACCCATTGTGAACATGGGTTCTTGGACATAGCTCTAAAGACTGGTAGTGCCTACAGAATCTGCTCCCTGCTGCAGTTCCTACAGGAAGACTCTGCCTTCCCCATCACAGGTGCTTTCTGGCTTTGAGCTCAGGAGTTGTCAGACCATTTAGTCCCCTTTCCAGCCTGGGAGAGGAGAGAGGTGGAATCAGCCATATGGGCGAGTTAATTAAGAGAAATAAGGGTAGCTACTATTTTTTCAAGGCCTTCACTTCATGAACACATTACCTGATTTAAATCCACAGTGATCTTAGAAGGTTAAGGATTTTTATTTTTTTATCCCTGTTTTGTAAATGAGTAACCTGAGGTAACAAAGCTATCATGAAAGAGAACCCAGCTGGGCGTGGTGGCTCACGCCTGTAGTCCTAGCACTCTGGGAGGACGAGGCAGGAGGATTGCTTGAGGTCAGGAGTTCGAAACCAGCCCGAGCAAGAGCGAGACCCATCTCTACTAAAAATAGAAAGAAATTATCTGGACAGCTAAAAAAATGTATATATACAAAAAATTAGCTGGGCATGGTGACGCATGCCTGTAGTCCCAGCTACTTGGGAGGCTGAGGCAGGAGAATTGCTTTAGCCCAGGAGATTGACATTGCTGTGAGCTAGGCTGACGCCACGGCACTCACTCTAGCCTGGGCAACAAAGTGAGACTCTGTCTCAAAAAAAAAAAAAAAAAAAAGAGAAAGAGAACCCAATTATCTAAACCTGGTCTGCTGACTACAAAGCCCATGTTCTCTCTACTATATCATGCTACCTCCCCAAGGAGTTTGAGGCTTTGAACCCTACTTTTAATCTAAAAACAGAGTTGATGAGAGGGGCTGGAGTTATATCTTGCCTGCCTCCCTTCTTCACCCTTGACTACAAACTTCAGTAACTAGCATCAAATCCAGAAGGGAAAAGATAGGGAGCTATGAGAATACTCCAGTCATCTGCTGAAACAGAAGACTGAAACAGATTTGGGGCACTATAATGGCTTAAGATTCATAGTATGACAAAACAGGAATGGTTCTTAGAAATCATCTTGTCCAGGGGTGACAGATTCAAATACTTTCAGAGTCTACATAGGTAATACAGTGGTATGTGTATGTGCATGTGTGGGTAGGAGAATAGTTGGTACTCTGGCAAACTGGAATGAATGCTACACCCCCCTCCCCCCCACACACAGCCCTAGAAGGCATTCATAATTTTTTTATTTCAGTATATTACAGGGGTACAAATGTTTAGGTTACATATATTGCCTTTGCCCCACCTAACTCAGACCTTCAAGCCTTTTAAAATCTTCCTGAAACTCGTGTATCCCAAAATTGAATTCAGTCCTTGTCCACCATTTCAGGAGACTTTTGATGTCAGTCCAACCTTTCAAGTCAAAGATGGGGATGCAGAAGCCAGAGAAGGCAAGGTTACCTAGTGATAGAGCTGAGATCAGAACCAGGGCTCATAGTCCTAATCCAGAATTGACTATGCCACACTGGCTCTTTTTTGACTAATTCATTCCTGTTCTATCTCAGTACATGCCTCTCTGAGCTCCTTCCAGATTTGTACTGTCCAATACAGTAGCCACTATCCACGTGTAACTATTTAAATTTAAATTAATTAAAATTAAAAAGTATTAAAAATGCAATCTATCAGTCTCAACTAGTCACATTTACAGTGTTCAAAAGCCACATGTAGTTAGTGGCTGCATTATTGGACAACACATATATAGAAGATTCCCGTCAACTTAGATGGCTCTATTGAATAGTGCTGTGAATACAGACTGCTCTCTATGGCAGCTGTCCCATTTGCAGCACCTTACTAAAACTACTGATAAGAAATGAATGCAAATAAATGATATGCTGATAAATCCATGAGCTTTTTCAAAAGGTGGAGAGACATACAGAGTGTGATCAGTGAGATATATAATCTGTCACCTTGATTTCCCCACCAATGACTCAGATCTCAGTGGGGTGATGACTCCTAGACGTAAGCAAACTCATTATAAGCAAGATCAATATGTGCAGAGACTGTGGGGAGAATCCATCAAGATGAAATAATTCCTCCTTCTTTGTACAGTGCCAATGAAAACTTACTTGGCTGGTATTTTCACATCCTCCTCCCCTAGACCTATATGGCATCTGCTCAAGGAAGAGAAGCTGCATTTCCACTTGCTTCCAGGACCTGGGTAATGTGCTGTCCCTGTGGCCATAGTAGCCCTAGCCGCACCAGGTGTTCTGGCCTCTCTGCCTGAAGAGGTTGACTGTACTGAACGTAATTGAAATCAGATTCCATTTATTCTGCCGGGGGATCCTCTGTTCTCTCTCCACGGCAGAGGCCAGCATGTTGCTAGACGACTTGGAATGCTGGACAATGAGGCTTGCTAGCCTCAGCTGTTATTCAATGCCCAAGGCCTTGTTTTCTTTCATGAAGGCCGCCCCCATGCCCCTCCTGCCCCCTGCACCTGAGCCCCAGAATCAAATCTAACTCTTTCATGTGAGATACAGGCCAGCCAGCCACTGTGTCAAGGCAGAGACTCATTGGCTTACTTAAATTGAGTGATGAAGCATGGAGAAAGGGGACAGTAAAGGTGGATAGTTCTGATGGTATGTGAGTTGCTCAGAATCTCTTCCCTGTCTTTTTATCTTGGGTCAGAGCAGTGACAAGAAAGGGCCATTGGCAAGGGGCTTTTGCATCCCAACCTGTTCTTTAGGGCACTGAACACCTAACCTGATGTGATGCCTGGATCCTATGGGGAACTAACTT